CAAGGACCCCTGAGAGGACAGAGGGACTCGCTTTTCTCACTCTGTGGGAAAGAGAGTAGGTTTAGATGGGATATTAGAAATAAATTCCTGGCTGGGAGGGTGGGGAGGGACTTGAATGGATTTCCCAGAGAAGCTGTGGCTGCCCCTGGATCCCTGGAAGGTTGGGCAGGGTTTGGAGCAACCTGGGCCAGTGGAAGGTGTCCCTGCCCACGGCAGGGGTGGGGCTGGATGGGCTTTAAGGTCCCTTCCCACCCAAACCATTCCATGATCCCACAATTCTCTGATGTTCCTGTAGCTCTCTCTGAAGGAGGAAAGCAGTCCCAGAAGATGTTGCTCACAGGAGATCTGAGCAGACTCTTCCTAAAGCACGTTGATGTGACGAGTGGGATTACAGAGAAGCCTGTTCAGGAAGGGATTTCATTCCCTCCCTCCACTCTCCTGTTGCCATAGAAATGATGCTGCACCAGCCCAGTGCAAACTGCCTTTCCCAGGGAGATGGGCCTGATGTGTGAACCCCATCCCACAGCCACTGGGAATAGGGACCCTCCCCACCGGCTCAGACAGCGCCTCCAGTCCCACAACATTCACCAAAAATTCTCCCCCAAAATTCATTTCTGACCACGAAACTCCATTTCCAGGCGTGTTTTTGGCCATCCCTGAGGCCAAGCCTTGCCTGGAACACGGATCCTCTCCTGTTCTCTTGTCATTCACAGAGACAGAACAATGGGAGAAGACGATGCCGTTCCCCCCTCTTTGCTGTTGCCCTCCTGGATGGGAACTCACTGGACCAGCAAATGGGGAGAATTCCAACTGCTCAGGTGCCCTACCACCAATCCTGAACTCACAGGGGAATGACAGGCCAGAGCAGACAGTAAATCTGGAAAATGCTGAAGGAAGGGCTCTTCTCCCAGGGAACAAGTGACAGGATGAGAGGAAATGGCTTCAAGTTGAGCCAGGGAGGTTTAAATTGGATATGAGGGAATTTGTTTTTCATGGGAAGGGTTGTATAGCCCTGGTACAGGCTGCCCAGGGCAGTGGTGGAGGCCCCATCCCTGGAAGTGTTCACAAAATGCGTGGATGTGGCCCTTGGGATGGTTGTGGTCCTAAAGGTCTTTCCCAACCTTAACAATTCCATCATTCCATGGTGGACACCTCACTGCTGCAGTGAGAGAAAGGGACCCCCCAGGGGCACCCAGGGATGGGACAAGAGGCAACAACACAAACCAAAGCACCAAGGATTCAAAGGAGATACTGCATGGAAAGGTTTTCCCCCCTCAAAACTCAGCCCTCCTGGGCCCTGTGGAACTTCCAGCCCTGGAGACACGTGAAGAGACCTGCTCTGGGTCACCAGCTGTGCCAGAAACCTCCAGACAACCCTTCCAACCTCGATTACTCCATAATTCTGCGCATTATTTTGGCCAGTCACAGCATGTGAGGGCAGAGAAATCCCTGCTCAGAGATCCCTCATGTTTTCCCTCTTTGCCAGGGGAGGCCCATCCAGATGGCCCGTGGATACTCGTGGCTGTAATCTCCCTCCCTGGTCAACTAATCCCTGAGACTGAAGAACAGGAACAAATCAATCCCGAATTGTCTCTTGCTCCCAATTCCTCTCCCTCCCAGCTGAGCCGCGCACGGGGCGGGCTCTTCATTTCGGAGGCAATTTCGGATCCCTTTAATCTCCTCCCGTAACACGGGTCATCAGAGAACTCAATCCCCCTTGGGATGGCCTCTCCCTGATAAGGACAAAGCTCAGGCTTCCCCTCCCCGTTTGCCTCGTGCCAAGTTCAGCCCGGATCAGGTTCGGAGCCCTGGAATGTTCCGGGCTGGGAGGGACCCGTGGGACCCTTAGTAAGGTTGGCCCCAGCCCTGTCCCTCCTCACCCTGGGAGGGTGGGGGAGGCTCTGGTTGCCCTCTGGTGACCTTGGGCGCATCCCAGGCTTTGGAGAGGCCTCGTGCTTGGTCTTTACCAGCAGTTGTGGCTCGGAGTGACATCAGGAAGAGGTGGAATAAGGAGCCTGTCCAAGGGGAGTCTCTCCCCCAGCTCACCCCGACCCTCCGTGGTGAAGTCACAGCTCAAAGGCTTCGCTGCCCCGCAGGCCAATTCCACACCCAAAACCCAACTTCTGCTCAGGGCACAGCCTGGTATCTGCTCGTGTTCCCCAACACCCCACGAGTCCCAAGCTCTCTTTTCACCTCATTTAAGCCAAAAAAGAGTAAATCACATCCCATACCCGGATCCATCGTCCAGCCGGGGGGTGCCGCTCCCTGCTCCGCTTCCCGGGGCATCCATTCAGCCCTGTCACAGCTTCCAAAGCTTTCCCTGGGATCTAAACCCACTGGTGTGTAATTTTCTCAAGCACTTCTAAGTTGCTCCTCAAACACTGTCATTATGTTAATCCTCTCCCACGTCTGAGACCTGAAGTGAAGTTGGGGATGATGGGATGAGTTCCCTCCTGGAAATGGTGCTGCTGACGTGCTGCAGCGATCCCACAGCACCCTCGCTGCTTCTTAACTCTGCTCCCAAGGGATCTGTCGGCCCGAGTGGTTCGGGGTTAAAAAATAATGGGGAAAAATCCAGGTTTTTTTTTCCCCAATTTATTAAGGTGAGTCCTGACACCACACTCAGAGCAACCTGTGCATGAACCATGAGCCTTAACCTGGGCCTTAAGGACTTTCTCTCTCCTTTCCTGTCCCCACCCTGTATTTTGGCACAGCAGGAGCAGAGGACATGACAGCAGCTCCTCTGCTGCTCCACCCAGCCAACCCCAGCACCTTCTCAGAATTCCTGAGGCTGGAAAAGCCCTCCCAGCCCATGGAGCCACCCTGTGCCCCATCCCCACCTTGTCCCCCAGCCCAGAGCACTGAGTGCCACGGCCAGGCCTGCCTGGGACACCTCCAGGCCTGGGGACTCCACTGCAGGAGGGGAGTTCAACCACTTCAGTTGCAAATCATTGGGAAAATAAGGGAATAATGATCCATTAAAGGCTATAAAACACAAGGACATCAACTCTGGCTCAGGAAGACTCTGAACAGGACACTGAGTGGTTTATTCTGTTCCCAGACCTGCACAAAGCACCTGCCATGGGTGCACCTACCACAATCCCGACCTGAGGGACCTGCAGCTCCAGCTCCTCGTGCTTTGATGGCCTGAGTTGGGAAGGATCCACCAGGATCCACCAGCAACTCCCATCTCCTGGTGGAGCTCCACAACTACCCCCCACACCACAGGGATGCAGCTCAAACCCTCCCATGGGTTCCAGGGCACCCACCAAGATCTGTGGGTGTCACAGCCAGTGGTGGCACCAGCGGGTCCCAGTCAGGCCCCACCAGCTCACCAGGACTTTGCACGCACTGGGCTTGGAAGGAGATGGCCTTTAAGGTCTCTCCCAACCCCAACTGTTCCATGGTTCCATGGACTGCCTGGGAATGCCAAGACCGGATGGATTTGCAAGAAGACAGGGATGACTGGGGTCCAGAAGAAGCTTTGCATCCTGCAGACAGTCCTGGAGGATTCCAGGATGGAAGGATCCACTCAGGGTGCAGGTCACGGCACACACGGACCCGCAGCCTCCTTCCCTTCCCTTCCCTGTGAGGACATTCCAGGGAAAGGGGGCCACTTGGAGCAAAAACTGCCACCACAGAACACCCTCACTGTGCTCCCAGAGCCCTCTGCCCTGAGGGACTAAGCTGGGAAACAGGTGGGACATCTCCCCCCCTGTGGGAGACGACTCCGGGTCGTTCCACCTTCCTTCCCAGCACCCTCCTCCACACACAGGCTCAGAAGCTGCACCAGGACACTCCCAGAACTCCGGAGCTTGGAAGGGAACCCCTGAGGTCACCCAGTCCAACCTTCCTGGCTCAAAGAACATGCTCAGCTTGCCCCAAAAAGGTTGTGGTTACTCCTGGAAGGGGCTTGGAGCTACCTGGGCTAGTGGAAGGTGTCCCCTGGGGTTGGAACAAGATGGGCTTTAAAGTCCCTTCCCACCCAAACCAGTCTCTGATTCCATGATATCCATAATTATTAATTCACAATTCTGATTGTTTTTTTTTTCTTTCTAAACAATTCCACAAACTCCATTTGCTTCTGGAGGTTTGGCCTGGCATCAAAGCCATCCCCAGACGCCGAGCAGAAGCCAGTCCAGCAACACCTCCCTGCACGTGACATCCCACTCCTGGTTCTCCCCCGCCACCCCCAATAATTTGCTTCTCATCCTTCCATGCTGGGATTCAGCTGCTGTTTATCAGGACCCTCCTCCCCAGCTGCTCCAATTCCACTTTCCGAGCTCCTCCTTGGGCTGGCTCTGCAGCCTCGGCGCTCCAGCAGATGCCTTGCCCTGTGACGTCACGGTGACATCAGACCTTTATTCCTAAGGAACCGCAAATCCTGGGCAAGAGCTCCTCACAGTGTTTCTGCCGGTGTGTGTGTTCCCTTCCGTGTGCCAAAATAAATCCCTTTTCCTGTCGCACTGTTTGTCAACCCCGTTTGATCCGATCCCACCCACCTGCTCTTCCTGCACTCAGAGAACGTCAGTTTGACTTGTTTTCGGTTTTTCACCCATTTCCTGCTCTGTGAGACCAAGAGCCACCGGTGACCTCAGCACAGACCTCCTGGGGGTTCCCTGGAGCCTCCGGCCAAGGTGCAAGTGGATCATTTTTCCCCTTTTCTTCTCTTCTTTAGTGTTTTCTGAGCCACTTTCCCTCTCACTCCGGGATCAACAAGCCCCAAAGCAGCAGATCCCAGGATTTTTGGAAATCCAGGCAAGCCACACACATTCCTTGGAGTCAAACCAGAGCCAGGGAGACAGATGTGGGATGAGCCATCAACAAGCCAGGTTCCCTGTTCGCCTCAGCCTCATCCAGCACTTGGAATTTAGGCTCTAAATGACCAAACCAACTGGAAAAGCTTCCTTCCCACAGAAACAAAATGCTCTGTCAGGATAAATAGAGACTTTTTCCATGGAAATGAACCTCCTTGGGATGCCAGAGGTGCTGCTCCTTACCTGTGAGAGGTGAAGTTGTCGTAAGAGCCCACAGTATAATGTCGGAAGAGCCGCTTGGTTCTGTCTTCTCTGGTTTCTGCAAGGAAAAAGACACATCCCAAATCACTTCCCTGTGCCTTCTGCTTCCCTGACGGGGCCACAAACCCAGTAAATTCTGTTTCCATGCAGGAATTTTATCAGTAAATAGTAATCCGTGCGGGAGTGAGTGGCCCTGTGCCCGTGCCCAGCCCCACAGGTACACAAACAGCTCCCAGGATCCTTCCCAGATCCCTCCTCGGATCCCTCCTCACATCCCTTCCCCCAGACTTCTCCAGGAGGAGCCAAAGAGGAGCCCCCCAAATGGGAGAGGCAGGCTCAGCTCTGGGTCCCAAGGGGAGCAGCCACGTTCCTGCCCCGCTTCCATCCGGACACGTCCCCCATCCCACAGCTCGGCACGGAGGGATGGAGCTCCCCTGGGAGGGGTGGCCACAATCCTTGGAGCCTTCCTGCTCACCTGGTGCTCCCCAGCTCCCTGGGCACAGGGGATCCGTGAGGAAGGAAAGCTGGGAGTGCAGAGAGGCGCCAGGATCTGCCTCCCTACGGAGCCCTGGTACCGCTCCCTGGCACAGCCGGGAACGCCCCGAGGGGCTGCCATTCCCCAGGATTTCTGTTTTCCCACGTGTTTTCCATGCACACCGAGTGGCCCAGGTGTACAGTCCGTAAATAAACCCGTGAAGGGGAAAAAAATGTGCTCCAAATTCCCATTTTACCGAGGGGAATGTGACGGAAACAGGGAGCTCCCAACCCCCGGAATTGCAGCATCCCGGGAGTGATGGAGGTGCTCTGGAAACCCCCCCACAAGGACGTGGGTGCACAGTGACCCCCCCAGCGAGGACAGGGACAGTGGGGTGAGGGAGGTGCAGCTTGGCAGCATTCCCAGTGATCCAAGGTGTTATTCCGGCCCCACAGGTGTTACCCGGTCTGGAAGGGGATTTCTTGGAGCCTGACGGAGCAGGGCGGGGCGGGGGCTTCCGATCAGCCGGTCCTCCTGCCCCTGAGCTCCTGGGAGAAACTGTCCCAAAGAACCACGGAATTCATCTTACCAGAAAGGAATTACTCTTACTGGAAAACATGGACTGATGGACACAGAAGGAGGCAAAAGAGGGAACCCTCCACCTGGATCAGCCCGGGAAGCCCCTCACCATTCCCACCCCCCTCCGTGGGGTTCCCAGCCCTGAGCCGAGGGGGAAATTCCAAGGGAAAGGAGGCAGCCCCGTGTTGTGGCTGCCTGGGAATGCCTGGGAATGCCTGGGAATGCCTGGGAATGCCTGGGAAGCTGCGGCTCCGTTGCTGGGAGTGCCCAGAGGACGGCAGCAGGGAGCAGCCTCGGCTCCGGCACTGCTGCTCCAAGCCGGGCACGATCCCGAAACGCTTCCCAGCGGGAATCAAGTGAGGTGGTGAGACCTGGGAAACACCTAAAACATGGGGATAACTGCTGCTGGTTGTGCCTGTGGATAAGCTGGAAGCTACAGTGCTGTACAAGCTGGCAGGGATGTATGGAAAATGGGAGGGAAAGAAGAGAAGGAGAAAAGGGGGAAGGAGAAAAGGGGGAAGGGGAAAAGGGGGAAGGAAAAAGGGGAAGGGAAAAAGGGGAAGGGGAAAGGGGGAAGGGGAAAAGGAGAAGGGAAAAGGGGAAGGGAAAGGGGAAGGGGAAAAGGGGAAGGGAAAAAGGGAAGGGAAAAGGGGGAAGGGGAAAAGGGGGAAGGGGAAAAGGAGAAGGGAAAAGGGGGAAGGGGAAAAGGGGGAAGGGGAAAAGGAGAAGGGAAAAGGGGGAAGGGGAAAAGGGGAAGGAGAAAAGGAGAAGGAAAATGGAGAAGGGAAATGGAGAAGGGAAAAGGGAAGGTTTGGGAAGGTTTGGGAAGGTTTGGGAAGGGAAGCGAAGGGGAAAATGGCTCCCAGGGAAGTGCCACCTTGGCACAGCACCAGCAGGTCCTGACAGTTCCAGTGATCCCCCTTTTCCACTCATGGCATGGGGAGACACCTCAGTGAGATCCCCTGAGAGGGAGCGGCACACACAGCACCCCCCATTCCCATGGGCATCCCTCCTCCTGCCTCACTTCTCCCACCAGAATTCCCACTCCCCCCACCCCCCATGTCTGTGCCTCAGCCCCTTTTCCCCCCTCCTCCTCATTCCCTGCTTCCCAGACACTTGTGCCACAAACCCCTCTCTGGGTGTCATTCCTGAGGAAAGGCCAGGGATTTGGTGGCTGGCCCTGGATTTATGGGCTGTCCAGAGCCCAAAGGCTCATTCTCTTCCCGACTCCTAAAAATAGCGTGTGTTTAATGGAGCCGTCACGGAGCACCGGGAATGGGGCTGATGGATGGAGAGGAGCCTTCACTCCCGGATCCGTGTGGAGAGGGAGGTTCTAAATTTAGAGGGAAAGAGCAATAGGACACCAGGGCATCCCGGTGGGATGGAGTGCTGGGAGCTCATCCAGGCACGGGAATGGGGAATGCAGACCGCTGGAAAACAACCTGGGAGGGCCTGTGGATGGAGAACCTGGACTGTCCCATCCTCTCTTCCCTCAGGCACCAACACCGGCTTGCAAATAGGAAAGGAAAAAAATCTCATTTGGAATGAGAAAAATATCCCTTTTTGGTTTAAACAGAATGCTGGAATTATATTTCTAAATACCGTTTAGAATTGAATTTAATTCAATTTAATCTTCTTAAATGCAAGATTTATGCACCTCTAATTATTGGCAGCGGGTTTTTTTCCATCATCTATTTTTGACCAACTGCTCCTGCATCACAAGCCCTGGAGCAGGAGGCAGAACAGGCGGCAGCACCACAGAATCCCAGGATCCCTGAGGCTGGAAAAGCCCTCCCAGCCCATGGATCCCCCCTGTGCCCCATCCCCACCTTGTCCCCCAGCCCAGAGCACTGAACAGAACACACAGCCAGGGGAGATGTGGCCTCAGGACTGGAGAAGGCTGGGGTGGTGTTGGTGCCTTCTCCAGTACAGGGACGCTTCTTGTGCCAACTTCCTGAGCCAACACGCCCACGGAGGCGTCTGGAAACTGCCCTGGCTCCTCCTGACTCAGGGAATTCTGAACTGCCTCAGCACCCAGGAAGAGACCCCATGGTCAGCTGATGCTGGGGGGGCTCATCCTGGAGAAAAGGAGGCTCAGGGGGGACCTTCTGGCTCTGCAAGTCCCTGCCAGGAGGGGGGAGCCGGGGGGGGTCGGGCTCTGCTCCCAGGGAACAGGGACAGGACAAGGGGAAATGGCCTCAAGCTGTGCCAGGGGAGGCTCAGGTTGGCCCTGAGGAGGAATTTGTTGCTGGAAAGGGTGGTGAGGCCTTGGCAGGGGCTGCCCAGGGAGGTTTGGAGTGCCCAGCCCTGGAGGTGTCCCAGGCAGGCCTGGCCGTGGCACTCAGTGCTCTGGGCTGGGGGACAAGGTGGGGATGGGGCACAGGGTGGCTCCATGGGCTGGGAGGGCTTTTCCAAGCTCAGGGATTCCATGATTCTGTCTCGCTCTCCTGCAGCTGCTGACTCACACCCTGGTGCCCAGGGCGGGCTGTGAGCAGGCAGAGCCCCCCGAGCTGGCACTGGGGATGGGAGCTTTGCTGCCCTGGAAGCAGCACCTCAGCCCTGGGCAGCCCCTCCCTCTGCCCACTGTGGATCCCTCCCACACATCCTGATCCCGCTCCCAGCACCTGACTCGCAGTGGGCTGATGAGCAGATGCCACCACAATGAAAGCCTGGCCCAGGCTCGGTGCCAGGCAGCCAGTCTGGCTGGGGCGGCCGGCGGGGAAGGGAAGGGAAGGGAATTATCTCCAAAGAAATGCTGAACTGTGCTGGGAAGGGGGGGAGGACACACAGTGGTGGGGCCAGAGAGGAGCCTGAAGCTCCTCTCCGTGGAGAAGGAGCCAGGGCAGGTGAATTGGGATGGGTCACCTCCATCACCAGGGGTGCTCAGCACAGCCGGTGCTGCCGTGGCAGCAGCAGGTCCTGCTGAGTTTCATAATCCCAGGATCCCTGAGGTTGGAAAAGCCCTCCCAGCCCATGGATCCACCCTGTGCCCCATCCCCACCCTGTCCCCCAGCCCAGAGCACTGAGTGCCACGGCCAGGCCTGCCTGGGACACCTCCAGGGCTGGGCACTCCAAACCTCCCTGGGCAGCCCCTGCCAAGGCCTCACCACCCTTTCCAGCAACAAATTCCTCCTGAATTTTTTCGTGCAAGGATTTACACACTTTCGGTGAAACTCTGGCCTGCAGAACACGAATTCAGGGAGGAGAGAACTCAGTCAGTCCCTCCTGCCTTAGTCCCTCCTGCCTTTAATTTATGAGCTACATTTACACTGAAATTAGAGATTTTTTTTCTTATCTATAAGTGAAAAAATGCAAATTAAATGCAAATCTGCCCTTAGGTAACCACCAGTCAGAGCAGCACCTCTGTGTCTCCTCCCCTGGGGTCTGAGCAGCCCTGAAGGGAACAGGAAGATCAGCCAGAGCCACCAGCCTGAGCCAAGCAGGGCAGCCCAGAAGGGCTGGAGGAGCTCTGCATGGCTATTCCACGTGGATTTATCCACATCTCTGCAGCACAGGCATTTCCACAAGTGCCACCCAGGCAGTTGTGCTGGTTCCTGACTGAGCCCAAGGCGCTCAGGGCAGGAATTCCTCCCCACCAGCTGTGGCTCCCCAGGCAACTGGAAAGGCTCTCCATGAATTCAGCAGCAGGGCACAACCCCCTTGGGAGGAGCCCACAACTCTTCCAGCAGCCCCAAGGAAGAGGGATGTTCAGTCCACGGCCAGAACATCTGTGGCACATCAATCTGGCCACTGAACTGCTGGTGGCACCACAGGGGGTTTGCTTGCCCAGAGCTCAGAGCAGGAGGAATTTGTCCTGTCGTGGGAAACGTTAAGGCAAAGGGAATCTGGGAAGAATCTTGAGTCAAGAGTTTTAAATCCCCGCTCTGAGAAGGGGAAGAATCAGTAAATCTAACAGATATCAGCTTTACAGCCTGAGCAGCACCTTGGGATATTCATAAAAATGACCTTTACTCTGGGCTGCCAGAGGAGCTGCTGGCAGAGCG